GCGAATGCTACGTTAAAGCGAATTAATTTGGCACGATGGAAAGTCGCTGATTGATGGACGTGTATATTCGGGCGGCAGCGGTCGAGTGGTCTTGACCAACATTTTAAAGTGTCTCTGGATTGGACGTGTGCGCCCCCTTCTCGTCAGACCTAAAATTGTATGCATTGTACGGATTCCGGTATAAATAGATCGCATTACAAACGGCTGTATCATCGGCCCGATACAAAAAGAAACAAGCTTCAGTTTAACAACTGTTATTAGCGCTTCAGGTCTAATTAAAATTGCTTTTTTTCTATAGCAACTGTTAAAATTGCCTTATATCTATCAAAAATAGTAGATAAAATAGTACTTTAACCCGCAACGGTAGATTAAATGATACTTTAAACTTTAACAGCGAGGATAGGTTAAAAACTTTATTTCTTCTCACGTTTTTTAATTGCTTCCATTTTTGAAAATTTTTGTATTCCTTTTCATAAGTTATTCGGGATTTAAATGGAAGTAGCTTGGATATGGCGTTTGTTGCCTCAGCCTGAATATCTGTTGGTAATTTACTTATTTCGTTTCGAGCCATTTCTGGATCCAATTCAATCAGCAATCGACACGAAAGAGAATTAAAAAATATTGACTCAAAACTGATAACTAAACAGACAGCTTTATTTATTTGTCAAATTACATAAAAACTAACGCCAACCCAGCACAATATTTTTCTACTCGTAATAAATTCCTTGAAATAATAATTTCTGAATATTTTTTAAAACGTAACTGGCTGTGGAAAAAAATATTGTTTTATACACGACGATAAAATTGCATTATCGTCTCCCGAAATTAATATATAATACCATTTTATCGTTTTGTATAAAAAGAACTATTTTGCTCTATTTACATTGCCCGTTTGAGAAAAAACAAGCATAAAACTCTTTAAACAGCCTCTACACTAATGTTTGACGAAATATTTCTTGGAATGTTTTACGAAATATTTCTGGAAATATTCTATCTGGAAAAGATTACCCAAGTAGCATTTTCACGACTTGCGACCACATGTTTACTAAACACAACGTTGGATTAGTTACAAAAAATAGTTAGCTCCCTACCATGGGTATTAAAATAAATTTAAACGTTTTTATAACGTTGTGCCGACGTTGGACTACTACTACAGCAAAGTAGAAGCTTCTGCGACGTCAAATAAACCTTTTTTGCTTTAGTGATCTTTAGGTGATTCGGACAACGTAGTTACAACGTTGGACAATATAGAGTTTTCCGACGTCAGTTTCAGGACTTATTCCAACGTTATGCAAACGTCGTCTGTTTTACTAATTCCAACGTTGTTTAGATTTCCTTATTCTTACGTTGGTAGGACGTCGAGTCACTACCTTTTTGCAACTGTATTGAACCATAACCTTAAATTTTAAATTTTCACTTCATTGTTCTGTTCAGTCAGACAGTTCAGTGTGAAATATTTGACCCTAAAAAACACGCGGAAACAATTTTTTCGACTGCGAATAAATTATTCTCATTTTACTAAAAAAAAAAATCAAGAAAATTTTTAAAACTTCTTTAATTTTAAGGCCCATTAGTATTTTTCAAAGTAGAAACAATACATTTATAAATAAAGTTCTTTGCGTTTAACTTTTTTGCCTTGGGTAACGAGTTACAGAGTCGGTTAAAGTGTTTCAATAATTATGATCTTCAAACATCCTCCACACTTAAATACTTTTGTTTTGTTTTCCTTCACTGTCATCTGACATATGTCTCTAACTAAACCATAAAAATAATATTTTTACTATAATTATCCCAATTTAGGATAAAACGCGACTTAGACGCCATATTAGTTTTGTATTTTTGTGAATTAGGATTTTAAACAACGTTGCAGTTTGTACTAAATTAGGCTTCTAGCCAACGTCGGTATCCAACGTCGTTTCGACCCAAAAATTATTCTCCAAACTAGTGCAGACTAGGGTTGGCACGAGGTTGTGCCGACGTTGCGCCCCGACGTTTGGTCGCGTGACACAACGTTGTCCCGACGTCCAAATGCTGCTTGGGTATTTAGTTTTGATCATTGTTTAACATCATTAATTACAATATAGTAAAAAATATATTTCCAAAACTTAATCGTAAAACTGCAGGGCAATACGCAGTGACTAACTCTTCTGGCGGTCTGCCTTTTACCTATATGTTATTATCCACGGTGTTAAACTATTTTAAAAAATCGTCTAATTATTTTTTATTTTTGAATGGATTTATATCAAACTCATGTTATTATATATAAATGTATCTTTTATTGACATCGTGTCAATCAATAATTTTCCCAATCAACTCGATATATTGATGATGTTGCCAGTATTTCCCATCAAGAAATACTACTGTTATATTAATCAATTAAGGCCGCGTAAACAAACATAACAATACAATTTTATATACTAATTTATTATAATAACATTAAATAATAAACATACTGTAATTATATTCCTGCAGATTGTGTGAAAAGATTTGTTTTTAAATATCTACTCTACATATTGTTATGGAATATACAGTGTGACCCACTCAAGACCGGGCACCCTCCATAAAATCTGTGTTTATAGTCCGATTTTGATGATTTTTTTTTCAAATATAAAGTTTCAAAAAATGTACTTTAGGGCTCAATGTCATGTTATTTCACAAAAAACAAGGCCTACTTAATAAAGTTTTTGTGGTGAAAAATTTGCAAAATCATATTAGCGATTTTTTTTCAAAAAATTTGAGTACACCCCTACATTCGGCATCCCTCAAAACAGTTCTGTACCAAATTTCGTTTAAAAATATTAATTATTAATAATTCTGCAGTTAAATTAAATAATTCCCTATTTTTGCCAATTTAACGATGAGTTATAACGTAACCCTTGAAAAAAACAATCCACAACAATGGGTTTTATTAGCTGTCAATTCTTGCAGCGTAGAATTGAATATTAATTTAATAGCACGCAGAAAAGTGTTGTATCAAGAAATATTATTTGCATTATGGAACAATTAAATATTAGGGATAAAATTGAAATGATTCGTTTAGTGGGTGATAACTATCTTCAAGCAGGAGAAGCTGCCAGAGAATTTAACAACAGACATCCCGACAGACCTGCAGTAAGTAGAAGCACGGTTCAACGAATAAATAGAGTTTTTAATGAAACTGGTTGTGTGTCAAAATACTTACTAAAAAACAGAAGGCCGGAACATTGAATAAATAGGCGGAATGAGGAAATATTAGAATATTTTCGTAACAATCCTCGTGCAAGCATTAGAGGCGCCAGTGTTGATTTGGATATACCAAGGGAAAATATTAGGAGATGTTTGCGAACTAATAAAGTTAAACCCTTTAAACCAAAGATTTTACACACTTTGGAAAACGGAGATGATGTTAGACGATTGAATTCTGCTTATGGGCTCAAGCAGAGTATTTAAATAATAGAAATTTCTTAAAAGAAATTTTATTTAGTGATGAGGCAACATTTAGTACAAACGGAGTAGTATCCTCTCAAAATTCGCGATTCTGGGCAGTCGAAAACCCTGAATGGGTGATCAATACAAGAAGACAGTATTCTCAGAAATTAAATGTGTGGTGTGGCATACTTGATGATAGAATCATTGGTCCATATTTTTTTGAGAGAAATTTGAATAGTCCAACGTTTTTGAATTTTCTGATTAATGACTTTTGGGATGCAATACATAATTTACCATGCCAAACCCGTTTGAATTTAAAATTTCAATTGGACGGATCACCTGTGCATAACGCGGCAGTTGTCAGGGAATGGTTAAATGAAAATTTTGAAAATAAGTGGATAGGTCGAAATAGCCCGCTAATTGAGTGGCCACCGAGATCCCCGGACCTAACACCCCTTGATTTCTTTCTTTTGGGTTTCTTAAAGCAACAAGTTTACAAGTCTAGACCTCAATCTGTAGATGAATTACGTATTAGAATTACAGAGGCTTCTGCAAATATTACACCACAGCAGCTTAGGAATGTAACTGTTAATCTAAGAAAAAGATGCGACAAATGTATTGAACTGAATGGAGGGCTTGTAGAAGCAACTAGAATTATTTGAATATGTTTAACTTATTATTCGGTTATTGTGTTGCTTGTAGTATTTTTATCATTGTTTGTAATAAAACTCGTTGTCGTGGATTGTTTTTTTTAAGGGTTACTTGATAACTCATCGTTAAATTGGCAAAAATAGGGAATTATTTAATTTAACCTGCAGAATTATTAATAATTAATATTTTTAAACGAAATTTGGTACAGAACTGTTTTGGGGGATGCCGAATGTAGGGGTGTTCTCAAATTTTTTAAAAAAAAATCGCTAATATGATTTTGCAAATTTTTCACCACAAAAATTTTATTAAGTAGGCCTTGTTTTTTGCGAAATAACATGACATTGAGCCCTAAAGTACATTTTTTGAAACTTTATATTTGAAAAAAAATCATCAAAATCGGACTATAAACACAGATTTTATGGAGGGTGCCCGGTCTTGAGTGGGTCACACTGTATATCATACAGTGTGACCCACATAAAACGAGATGTAATTAACGAAATATCATCATAACATCAGCTATTTTAGAAACGTCTAGGTTTACTTATTTCGCTGAGATTTATGAAAAAAAGTCCTTTGCCGCGGGTACAGATACCGCCACGTTTTTGAAATAGCTCAGACAGAAACAAAATTGAACGAGGCAAAAGGAAACGCCAAAAAAATCACCCTGCGCCCACGAGTAGTTTTCAGGCGCTTTTAAGAATCGAGAAGGTAGGTCGAGGCAAACCGAAGTGGGTCAAGACAACTGGAAATAAACCGAAATGAAACAAAGTTGGGAGGCGAAACGCGACTTTAGCCTGCTTCGAAGAGTTCTCCGCATAGTGTAGAGGCTGTTTTAACTTATTAAAACCATAACGCTGATTTATTTTCATCTAATAGAGAAATACGAAATTAGTCCATTCTTGATGAAAAATACTCAGGATTCTAATGGAAACATTTTTCAGTGTTTCTAGTTTCTACTACCACCATCACGACCACAGAATACCATCGGCCGAAGAGGACGACACAAGCAGTCACTAGTTACCATGGCAACGACGTGTAAATCGGCGGTGCCCAACCGCAGAAGGGATTTGCAAGCGACAACCATGCAAACGGCCGATCATCGAGAGACCTGGGGCAAAAAAGTCGATTTTCTTTTGTCGGTGATCGGATTCGCTGTGGACCTGGCCAACGTTTGGCGGTTTCCATATCTTTGTTTTAAAAATGGAGGAGGTAAGTTATAGTTTGTTCTGGCATCGTTCCCTAGATCATATAGGTATACTTACGTGGATAAATCAACGCCATAAGTTTAGCGTTAAGAAATATGTCTTCCACATCAGGACATGCCATTTTCAAACCTTCTCTATTGCACTTATGAAACGCTCAATAGGTTTGTCTTTTCCGAGGACCTTACTTTGCGCATGCGCATTAGTAGTTGCACGTACGTATTTGTAAAATGATCACAATTTTTTACGGTTTAGAAATTACAAATTATACATTGTTATGGAAACCAACTTTTCATTGTCATCATATTGTCATAATCATCTTGTCATAATCATATGTCATAATCATAGATAAATGCAACAAGTTTAGATTGGAAAGAAAGCCCGTCAAAATTTTGGGTCGCGAAATTATTCTGGGTCGCGATCTGGCGCTGCTATAGCGGTCGCTAAGAACAACGGCAAACAAAAACAAAAATAATTTTCTCTTGTCAAAGTCAGAATCTTCAAAAATCATAATCACAATCATAATAATCTTTCAAAATCTAAACCGCTCTCATTAAAGAAATTCCGAAAAGTGTTTATAGCGTTCATTTTCAAGGTAATTATTGCTATCTTGTGAGTTTAATTCAAGTTTTATTTACTTCAACCGGTGATAATTGTGAAAAAGTGGCATTAAAAACTTAAAAAGCTGTGCTGTGAACTGTGAACTGCAAAAACCATCGTGGATCGTGGCATAACGTCGGTTTCCAATGTTTCATAGGTATTTCATACTTACGTCCTTATATAAAATAAAGTTTCTTGTATGCAACACACTGTATTTTATTTATAAATAAACGAACGAAAATAATAATAAATTTGAATAAACAATATTTGGCGATATAATTCCGGAAAAAGCCGAACCGCTCCGAAATTTTCAAAGGTTTTGGGTCGCGACCGTTGCAAGAATAGCGCCAAATAGTGTTTACATTGTCCTTATGGGCACTTTCCAATCTAAACATGTTTCATTTATCTATGGTCATAATCTTATTTCCATTGTGTAACGATGCTTGTTTTTTGCGTTTTTTATTTTAAAAATTGTATTAAATACTCTTTTATCGACCACTTTTATATAGCCAAGGATGCAAGTGTGTTTATTGAAGTTAATTTTAAGTTTGTGCAATTATATTTCTATTTTTTTTTCGTTGGACTTCCTAAATACCCGTAAAAATGATTGTAAGGTGTTTGGAAGTTCTAATATAAAGGTCCCCGAATTACCTTTTCATAGGCAAGTAAAGTATTCAGTTGTTCTTTTATTTATATTAAACCACATGCATACTTTCTGGTTAAATTTCCTAAGAATATTAATATTCGTACGGAGTGGCTAAATGTATTTTTTATATAATTTAATTTTTGTGATAGTAAACATTCAATTTATTGTTCAAATATATGCATTTTACAAATTAAATTTTTAAAATGAAGGTTCAAATTTGACACGTGGACGATAGGTCCTCGACAAGGATAGATAGAGTAGAAGCACCGCGTGTGCAACAAAAAAAGAAGATAAATGCAAGTCGTTGATATGTTTGCGATAGTTTCCATAGTGATTTACTTGTTCACGTAAGTATATAATATGATCTATGAATATCCATATCTATGGTAATACCGTATCTATGGTATTTGATTTTTTTTTGATCTAGGATTGAGACTCGTAGAAACATAATATGATTTAATTCAATCCAATTCATGCCCTTTAGGTACAGGGTGTCCCACTAAGAATCGCTCTCGGCTGTATCTCGGAAAGTATTAGCCGTAGGGCCTGCGGAAAAAAAATATTTATAACTAATGAGACCATGAGAAACTGCTGGAAATTATTTTCAAGTTTGTAGAACGGCCGCTAGAGGGCCTAACTGCTATGGAAAATAACAAAATGGAATTTTTAAGAAATTTTGCCTAGATACGATGTACTATGCGGTTTTCGCTGACTTGTTAAGCTTTTATTACTCTTTACTATCAACTAAAATTACATATACTATCGCATTTATTTTTTTTTTGAAAAAAATGCGCAATGTTTGTTAAATTGTAAGACAACGCCCCCTAGCGTCTACGTTCAAAAGCTTATTATTATTATTTATATAGTACAATATAGAGTAAGAAACGCTCTTTTAAACGAGCCATCGCTTGTTGGATTCCGATCATTCAGTCCGGAGTTATTAATATTTAAATAAAAACTAGTAGTGGGAACTATCGAATGAATACTATCGAAACATTCGATAGTTGCAATTCATTCGAATAATTCGATAGTTAGTAAGAAAACATTCGTTGAAAACTATTCGAATAAAAATTATCGAATAGATCCGTCATCTGCCTTGAAATATTGTATTCTAGTAATTCGGCAGCAAAAACCATTCATTTATAAAATTCATTCATTTATGAAATTCATTCATTCGTCAGGATCGATTATAATAAAATATTAACTGAATTTTAGTTGTCGCCCGGCGACGTAGGTTTCTTTCGAGAAACCCGACAGCGGTCTGTGGCAATGCTATGAAAAGAAGCCGGCATCTTTGATTTTTTGCGGAGTCAGATATAGATAAGGACACATTATTTTTTTATTGAGGTGCTAGTATTTACACAGAAAATACATTATGAAAGGCGCTGTTGCCATATTTTGGTATTAGTTGATATTAGCAAAGAATATTATTGTTTGGCTTTAGTTAATTAGGGAATATAAAGACATACTATCTATTCTGCATTTTTTTTATTAATATTCTGTTGTTACACTGCAATAATACTTGTTATTTTGGATGTAGGAAAATTATTTTTAATGTTTTTTAGCAAAGACTGGTTTAATAAATAATAATAACAATAATAATTTGTTATACCTATTAACAACAAAATTTAAAATCATTTAATATAAATATTTTCTTTTAAGTAGTAGCAAAATATAAACAACAAATTAGATGTCAAAATTATTTATATTAGATCCTATTTAAAAATAATATAGTCTCTAAATTTTTTGGCAACGGTGGTTTATTAAATAATAATAATTACAGAACTAATTTGTTATATTAACAACAAATTTTAAAATCATGAAATATAAACATTTATTAATTTTCTAAGCATGCAGTGTAATGTAAGGAAAATATAAATAAAAAATTAGAAATCAAAATTATTTATATTAGGTGCTTTATATTACTATTTAAAAATTATATTTACTTTTACTGGCATTTACTTTAAAAAATAAATGAAATATTTTTTCTTCGCAAAAAACTACATGTAAAAGAATTAGCATAAACAAAATATAAACATTGTTAACTTTTTTTTTTAAATTGGCACGTGTAAAACTTTCATTTTAATTTTCTCACCCCATAGTTTGAGTTCGATAACCATTTACTTAAATATGATTATACAACCGCATTACTTAAATATGATTATTAAGTTCAACTAATTCATATTATTAAAACATCTAAAATACAAATATGTATTTTTAAAATTAATTGTAAGTTCATCTCATCTCTCTTAAAAATTGCTACTTCTCAAAATTTCCCATTAAAAAATAGACCATATACCATATAAATTAAATAATTGAAAGATCGGACTACGGAAAACCACACAAATTTTCGGAAAAATTTTGACCACCTGCACATGCACACAATCGTCAATAAATAAAATTAAAAAATAACTACTATTTTAGTATTTTAACTATTTTAATAAACGCAAAAATAGCACAGTATTTATACGGCGAAGTTATAAAAATTTGGAAAACTAATAATGCACTGACGCATACAAAAATCAAACGAATACTAAATTTCATTTATCAAAAGCATTCGATATTCGTGGCTCAACGATAACCATTTAGTCGCACGGCGAGGTTGTCACATATGCTTTAGTATACAAATGAATGAATGATTTTATTCGAATAAAACCATTCGATAGTTGAAATCATTCATTCGTTAACCATTCGATAGTTCCTATCGCTAATAAAAACAGATCAAACCCCTCCCCACCACTTTATTTTAACAGACGGGGAAAATGGTTTAATAAAAAAGATCCAAAATTTACTGAAGATTATGAAGCTATTATTTATAGTACATCGTATCTAGGCAAAATTTCTTAAAAATTCCATTTTGTTATTTTCCATAGCAGTTACGCCCTCTAGCGGCCGTCCTACAAACTTGAAAATAATTTCCAGCAATTTCTCATGGTCTCATTACTCATAAATATTTTTTCCCGCAAGCTCTACAACTAATACTTTCCGAGATACAGCCGAGAGCTATTCTTTGTGGGACACCCTGTACAATTTGTAGCGGACACGCCTATAGTACACTTTTTTTCCGAAAATAGCCTATAGCGACAGATTTTAATAAGCGGGAACGGTCTCATCTTCAAAGTGGTAATTAAGTAGGTAGGGCGGGAGGGTTAGGGTTCGGAGGAAGCGAGAAGTGGCGGCATCTGCCGGCGGCTTCTTTTTGTACCAATAACGACGTTATGATTCAATTTCCGACCTATTAAAGCCCTCTCTAAAGCGACGCTGTACTATATGTAGATACCAGAGCGACTAAATAAACTGTCAATGTCATTTCCTTAGTGAAATTGGTCGAAAATTAGGGAGGAGATAGAGCCTTAAAAAAACGTATTTTCAAAGCTTTAAAGCATTTTTATACAGGGTGTTTCAAAAAACGTGTGCCATCTCTCGTTATTTTTCATATCAACATAGGTCGGATTATGTTTTGTTTCGTAGCTACAGGGTGTTAAAGTCTTAATATATTTTTTCGATTTATTATAATTTTCTTCTAAGTAAATATGCGTTTCGAATGAAATTTTGAGGGTAAAAGTTACTATAAATTAGTAGTGGGAACTATCGAATGAATAATATCGAAACATTCGATAGTTGCAATTCATTCGAATAATTCGATAGCTAGTAAAAAAACATTCGTTGAAAACTATTCGAATAAAAATTATCGAATAGATGCGTCATCTGCCTTGAAATATTGTATTCTAGTAATTCGGCAGCAAAAACCATTCATTTATTCGTCAGGATCGATTATAATAAAATATTAACTGGATTTTAGTTGTCGCCCGGCGACGTAGGTTTCTTTCCGAGAAACCCGACAGCGGTCGGTGGCAATGCTATGAAAGAAGCCGGCATCTTTGATTTTTTTGCGGAATCATATAAAGATAAGGACACATTATTTTTTTTATTGAGGTGCTAGTATGTACACAGAAAATACATTATGAAGGGCGCTGTTGCCATATATTGGTATTAGTTGGTATTAGCAAAGAATATTATTGTTTGGCTTTAGTTAGTTAGGGATAGTATGTCTATATATTTTGCATTTTTTTTATTAATATTCTGTTGTTACACTGCAATAATACTTGTTATTTTGGATGTAGGAAAATTATTTTTAATATTTTTAAGCAAAGACTGGTTTAATAAAAATAATAATAACAGTAATAATTTGTTATACCTATTAACAACAAAATTTAAAATAATTTAATATAAACATTTTTTTTACGTAGTAGCAAAATATAAACAACAAATTAGATGTCAAAATTATTTATATTAGATCCTATTTAAAAAATATATATCTAATCTTTAAATTTTTTGTGGCAACGTTGGTTTATTAAATAATAATAATTACAGAACTAATTTGTTATATTAACAACAAACTTTAAAATCCTGAAATATAAACATTTATTAATTTTCTAAACATGCAGTGTAATGGAAGAAAAATATAAATAAAAAATTAGAAATCAAAATTATTTATATTAGGTACTTTATATTACTATTTAAAAATAATATTTATTTTACTGGCATTTACTTTAAAAATAAATGAAATATTTCTTCGCAAAAACTACATGTAAGAGAATTAGCATAAACAAAATACAAACATCGTTAACTTTTTTTTTTTAAATTGGCACGTGTAAAATTTTTCAATTTAATTTTCTCACCCCATAGTTTGAGTTCGATAACCATTTACTTAACCACATTACTTAAATATGCTTATTAAGTTCAACTAATTCATATTATTAAAACATCTAAAATACAAATATGTATTTTTAAAATTAATTCTAAGTTCATCTCATCTCTCTTAAAAATTGCTACTTCTCAAAATTTCCCATTAAAAAATAGACCAGATATACCATATAAAATAAAATAATTGAAAGATCGGGCTACGGAAAATCACACAAATTTTCGGAAAAATTTTGACACCTGCACACACACAATCGTCAATTAAAAAAACTACTATTTTAGTATTTTAAATATTTTAACAAACGCAAAAAATAGCACAGTATTTATAAGGTGAAGTTATAAAATTTGGAAGAACTAATAATGCACTGACGCACACAAAAATCAAACGAATACTAAATTTCATTTATCAAAAGCATTCGATAGTCGTGGCTCAACGATAACCATTTAGTCGCAAGGCGAGGTTGTCACATATGCTTTAGTATACAAATGAATGAATGGTTTTATTCGAATAAAACCATTCGATAGTTGAAATCACTCATTCAGTAACCATTCGATAGTCTAATTCATTCGATAGTTCCCATCGCTACTATAAATGGGACATATTTTAAAGCTAAAAAAATGTCGACATATTGACCAGGGACGTGCATATGGGTTATCACTGGAATATTTCTCTAAAAAAAGCATGTACGCTACTGACTTTTTTTCTCTTGCTGGCGAAAGAGTGTAAGCAGTTTGATGCCGATTAAAAGTTGTCTCTTGATATTTTGTCGATTTCCGCCTCCTTGATGAGATAAACGCAATTTTATTAATTTGCCTTGATCCAAGTCTAATAGCAACCTTTAAAGAAATAATGCGTCAACCACAGGGAATTGCTGAGCATCCTTGACAGAAGAGGCCTGGATACCCAAGACCTGAAAATTATCCAAAAGATATACGAACAACAAGTAGCGACAGTAAAACTACAGGACACTGAAACAACAGCAATACCTATCAAGCGTGAAGTTAGGCAAGGATGCGTATTGAGCCCTATGCTCTTCAATATGTACTCCGAACTAATATTTCGAAATGCGCTTGAGGGATCAGAAGACGGCATAAAAGTGAATGGCAGGCTGATTAACAACATGAGATATGCTGATGATACCGTCGTTATTGCAGACACCACTGAGGGCCTGCAAAGACTTCTTGATAGACTGTCCTCGGTGGGCGACTCAATGGGTCTCAGGATAAATACAAACAAAACAAAAGTCATGGTGATAAATAGAGATGCAAGACAGGCAACGGAGGTAGTCGTAGGTGGGACACCAATAGCAAGAGTCTCAAAGTTTAGATATTTGGGCAGTTGGATTAGTGAAGACCTAAACCCAGACATTGAGATCAGAGCTCGAATTGAGATGGCTAGATCAAACTTCCTAAAATTGCGGAACCTACTGTGCGATAAACGTCTCAACATCCATATAAAAGACAACTTCGTCAAGTGCTACGTACTTTCCACACTTCTCTACGGGGTTGAGTCGTGGACACTCAAAGTAAGCGCAATGAATAAGTTGGAAGCATTTGAGATGTGGGTATATCGCAGAATGCTGAGAATACCATGGACTGACCGTGTCTCGAATGAACGAGTTCCAACCGTCGAGGACCGAGAACTCCTCGACATAATAAAAAAGAAGAAAGCAGCCTATTTGGGCCATATCATGAGACATAGCAAGTATGAATTCCTTCAGCTCATCATCGAGGGTAAAATTGAGGGAAAGCGCGGACCCGGACGACGGCAATGCTCCTGGCTGAAGAACATCAGAGATTGGACAGGCCTGGACTTACATACTTTGCTGAGAAGAGCGAAAAATAGAAATTTGCCATGGTTGTTGCCGATCTTCACTGAATGGAGAAGGCACTTTAAGAAGAAGAAAGAAATAATATCATTAACTTGCGAAAGTTTTAAGTAAGTGCTTATTGATTCCTCATCAAAAAATATGAAAAACAGTTCCTATAAACATGTGTATGGAAATGCACAGTTTCAGAGTTACAGGATATTAAAACTTCAAAAAAATTAGGTTTTTTGTAATTATCGTAAATACCATAATTTTTTTATTTGAAATTGCCGTATGTTGGACCAATATTAATAATAACTAATAGTAATAATATTTAATAATAAATTAGGTAAAATATATACTTTATTAATTTTATTTTAATTTTATTAATTGTGGTTAATTTTGTTGTTTGTCTCATCAAGGGGGCCGAATTCGACAAAATATCAAGAGATAACTTTTAATTGGTATTAAACGCACTACACAATTTTGATATCAAAAGGAAAAAAAATCAGTGGCGCACATATATTTTTTTAATATTCCAGTGATAACCCATATGCACGTCTCTGATGAATTTATCGACATAGCATTTTAGTAAAAAAATATGTAGCACTTATAGTAACTTTTACCCACAAAATTTCATTGGAATCACTAAAAGTACTTGAAAGAAAATTATAATAAATCGAAAGATAATTTAGACTTTAACACCCTGTAGTTACGAAACAAAACAGAATCGGACCTATGTGGATATGAAAAATAAATCTTATTTTTACGTGAGGAATCTCCCCACGAGAGATGGCACATGTTTCTTGAAACACCCTGTATACTCTTAAATTATAGCACTTAGTTGCCTGTCTTCACATTCGTTTCTACTTTCTATTCGTAATTTCAACTTAATTTCCATCTTTAATCAAAATCGATATATCGAAGAAGAAAAAGAAATAATATGGCTATCGTAGCAATTGGTTCTTAAGTTCGACGTCTTGTAAGTCGTCTAAAGGAAATCGCAAATTTAATTTTTTTCAGAGACGTTCTTATAAAAGCTCCCTAGAGAGAAAGGCAGAGTCTCCATGATCTTTAGATTTTCCCAATCGCATTATAGGTACCTTACGCCGAATAATTATGTTCTTCGAATACTTATATTTGATTCCCATTTTTTATCTATCGATAATATTTAACGTAAAAAATGCAGTAAAGTACGATTTCGTTTTTTACATCAACTTTTAATCTACTTAAATAAAAAAGGTCTAAAGAAGAATGATTAAGGTTTTATGTGCCTATTTCATTAATCTTTTATGTTCTACATATTTTTTGTTTAAAATTTTTAGGTGCCTTTCTTGTTCCGTATTGTATTATGTTAGTTATTGGAGGAATACCACTGTTTTATATGGAACTTGCATTGGGACAGTACAACAGAAAGGGAGCAATAACATGTTGGGGTAGATTATGTCCATTATTCAAAGGTAAGTTGGCAAAAAGCGTATTTTCTGATATTAATATTTGAACACAAATTTGAAAATTTAAGATGTAGTATTGTGTTATTCCAAATTAATACAATTTTAGTTGCCATTAACAACTTTGAAGGTACCCGGCGGCGTAGAGGTACAGGCTCTCGTCTACCAATTCGAAGGTTGTGGGTTCGAATCCTACAGCCGGCATTTCATCAGCCGACTATTTTTATTAAAATAAAAATAGTTTGGGTACCTAGGCCGACTCAGCCTTATATGAGTACTTGAGATTCACAATCCTGGGGTAATAATAGGCGGTTGAAGCGTAATGTATATACCTCCCTTGTATACCGAACGGCTCTAGTATGGCAAGCTGTACTGTGACAAATCTTTTCGGATTGATCACTTGTCTATGGGTAGAATTTTAGAATTTTTAGAATTTAGAATGAGTGGGAGGGGGGTTAATCACTTCGACCTTACAGATCCATTGTGTCCCCCTTTCTTGAATCATAACTCATCATACAGTCCCAGGGCTTTGACAAAAGCCAGTATCTGGGACGGTTTTATAGTGGGTAGTTCTCCATCTCCAATATCAGTCGTACCAAAATTCATGGCCCGAATGGTTGTCGTCTCGGCGCACTCAGTGATGAGGTGTACTGGTGTTTCACCATCTTCCCCACAGAATCTGCATTCGCCGTTTCTTCTTAGTTTCAATCTACTGAGGTGTTCATTGAGGAGACAGTGTCCTGTTAAAAACCCCGTGACAATCCGAAGATTGTTCTTACTCAGACCCAGGAAGATCTGTGATTTTTCTTGATCATAAGCCCTCAGAAACTTCTTCGAGTGTCTTAGACCATTGCAAGATTTCCATTCCAGGTTGCGGATGGAATCTTCCAAGTTCTTGAGTTCCGCCTTGAGTTGGTTACCACTTGGAAAGCAGAACGGTTCTGGTCCAGTTAGTGGAGTGTTCGCTCCTTTCCTAGCTAGATTATTTGCTTTTTCATTGCCTTCTATCCCTTGGTGAGCAGGCACCCAGTGTAGGAGGACTTTGTTTTCTTTGCCTAATTTATTCAGCTTCTCTAAGCATTCTTTGACCAATTTCGAATCGATTGATACTGAGTTGATCGCCTTTAACGCTGCTTGACTATCAGATAAGATGGCTATTTCTTGTGTCCGATAGTTCCTATCTAAGATAAGTTGTACGCATCTCTCGATAGCGTAGATTTCTGCCTGTAGGATACTAGGGCCCATTGGTTCGGAGTAATTAGCTCTCGGCCCAAACACTCCGATCCCTGTTCCCGTATTGGATTTGGAAGCATCAGTATACCAAGTTATGGTATGGTCTTTTAACTGATGGGCAAGCGTTTCGCTCTTCCAATCCTTCTTATTGCTCAATACTACATTGACATGTTTGTCAAAGTTGTACGTTCTTGGCATATCGTCCACTGGGAGTTGCAGGAGTGGTATTTCCTTTTTGAGGGTGTTCCAAGCCCCTGATCTGACAATTCTCCCAGTACTAATTCCGTTAGTGACCATTCTAATCATTGTCGCATTGGCATATCTACCAATGACAATCTATCTACAATGTCTATGGGTAGCGTGACTATTTTATAATTATGAAAAAACAATTAAGTTGAGCGCGGCAATGAAGTCGGCAAACTTGGATAAAAAGTACACCAACTCTTTGGGGCGTATCTTTAATGCGTTGTCTTGATGATGTTAGTTACACAAATCTACTATAACTTACCTTAATTGCGGCCCAACCTCTGTCTGTAAATCTGTAGCTCATTTCTCGAGACTTTTCTGGACTGCTCTGGAGATATTCTGCCCGTTCATAAGGATCTTATTTATATACTTTTAAAACACTCTTGGTTATTTTTACTATAGAAATAAAACTGCCGAGTTTTCAGAAAACATTTAAATATAATATTAAAGAAAAAAATAAAGAACTAAAAGAAAATATATATATATAAAATTAAGTTACTTATTATTAATCAGAATAAAAAAAAAGATGGAAGAAATACAAGAAAATTGTCTGGTGTTTTCATTACTATATCAACACATTAAAATAATTTTAAAGAAGAATAAAACAGAAATTAAAAACATTTGACAAAAGGACTTAAAAAAATAACTAACTAAGTTTCGCGAACCCGAGGGAAAACCGTCTCTTTTAGAAACTCAAACCGAACTAACTTTTCAGCCTAAAAACAGCCCCGGGGTTCCAACATTACAGGGTTGAAGGGTGGTACATTCGGTACTTAGCCAATAGGATCATCCCTAAAGGTACTGTTCTTTGTTTGATTGGTCAGCTTGATACCGCTCTTCAAACCAAGTTGGTTCGACCTCCCGTTGTTAGATGGCAGTACTATGACCATTTTACGTATTTAATTCTCATTTGGCGCCAATTATAACTAGGTACGTGCTTTTCTTAAGTTCACAGATCCTTTACAAACATTCGGCAATAGTTAAACATGTTATCAAGGGTGGTTATTGGTTTTACAACGTCCCAGCGTTTTTATCTAAGGGCTATCTTTACAATTTTTCTGTTTACTTCTAAGTTTTACAGTTTATTTGCTTTGTCCTTCTATAAGTTTGGGAATTTAAAAATATTCACGTTTGAAAGATGTTTGTTTTATTACTTCCTGTTAAAACGATCCTCTCCCGAAACTAACAACCGAAAACATCGACTTGAACGTAAAGGACATAGGAAATAATCTGTTAATAATATAAATAATAATATAAAGGAAATAATCTGTTACAGTACCTTGCTACTTCCAAAGCGTTAAACGCTATATACGGGAGCTATTATTATTAACAACTTCTACATTTCAAATTTTGATAGTGGTTTGAATGAAGTACTTTTTAATATTACAAATAGGCTTTATCATATAATAAAAAAGATTAATTTATTAAATTTAACTTCACGATGAAAAGGACTATATCCAAAGGAAAAAACTAAGCATACAGAAAATATTAATAATAATTTTACAAGCTTTTAAGGGGTTGAAACGGTAAAATTGACTGCAAAAATTGAGATTTTTATTCACCTTTTTAGGGGAGGTTGAAAGGCTTAAAAGCATATTTTACGAGGTTGTAATTCTCGCGTCAAGTGAGCGAAAATGGGGCCGATATAATTTCGAGTGCTGACCGTTTTTCTGCTCGCTCGCACAAGAAAATTCACTCTGAATAACGGATGGGTTAGTCAAATAGAGCGTTGATTTTTTTTGTAAAAGAGAAAACGATAATAGTGTAATGGCAGTTTTTTTGTTTTTAAAGTTTTTAGATATTTTATTTAGGGTTCAGATTTATAGGTCCGGAATAATCTTCACAGATGTCACCTTTTAAGATAAAAATGCATCGGTACGTACGCAGTAATAAAATGAATTTAAATTTAATTTAAATTAAATATAAACACAACCAAACTTATATGGAATCATCTATTATTTTTCATAATTTCTGAGACGAATGAACATTTTGTGTTGATGAATAAAACCTACCAAGTCAACCTAACAAGCCTTCAACAATTCCATGGACAGCCTAACCGTCGCGTCGGCCGTCGGCCAAGAGAGCGGCGCATCACTGGTAACTGCTCCTTTGTCGCGCCGCCGTGTCGAGCTTGCGTCATGCGAGGTTGCCGTAGTTTCAACATTTCAAATTCAAGACACTCGAAGAAATCAAATTCTTATTAAATTTTAAAAACAAACCAGAAAAACATGAAAGGAAACAAACAAAACACAAATGAATTGGTTATTGATAAGGTCACAAAAAAGAAATATCTAAAATGTTTATCGTAATTCAGAATTCAATACATCGAAAACAGCCCGACGAAAAATCAATTCATTTTTGTTTTGTTTGTCTCCTTTCATGTTTCTCTGTTTTATTTTTAAAATTTAATACGAATTTGATTGCTTCGAATGTCTTGAATTTGAAATTGTTGTAACTACGGCAACGTTGCTTAACATCGTCGTCTGACGCAAGCCCGCCACGATGGCGCGGCGACCGGCGACTCAAAGGACCAGTTCACACGCGGCGCTCTTGGCTGACGGTTAGGCTGTGGATGGAATTGTCGAAATACATCGAAAAAATAGCGAAAAAACAAAATACCTATTTAAAATTGTTGAGTGAAACATGTATTTTCTTAGATTGAAAGTAGTTCGTAAAGTGGCGATAAGAGACAATAATTCTCAACATTTATTCATTCGGAAAGGTATTCAAAGTAATGTGCGCTTTTCAAGGTGTTTTGTAAAACAGTGGTTCAAATAAAAGAGAGAAACATGAAAGAAAACAAACAAAACAAAAATGAATCGATTATTCGTTGGGCTGTTTTCTAAATTTCTTGAATTGAATTCTAAATTACGATAAACATTTTAGGAATTTCTTTTTTGTGACCTGATTGTGAATAATATGAATCATTTTATTAAATGTATTCCAAAATCAAGTTATTTTGCAGCATAACAAAGATTTTCGTAAACGTCATAAACGTAATGTTTTAGTTAATTTTCGGTGGTTTTTGTTAAGTTTTCATTGAAAGGGTAAGTATTAAAAATAATTAATGTGTTTTTTTTTCTATAATTATTAATAATGAGCACTGATAAAAGATTAAATTTACCATTCCTAATTTTTTGAGTAGAAATTTGTCTATGAATTTATAAATGTAGAACTATGTAGAATGTCGATAACATAGGAGGTTGCAACACTGCAAGGTTTAGATACACCGTAGGGAAATCTCAGGTGAATAAACAAGTGGCAGCAAAAAGTTTTTTCAAATTTCCCGGAAAATGTCAAGAAAAATTTTAAATTTTCAACATTTTTTTTTCGCAAAAAAAACCTCATAGGCGTGTTTCTGGGGTTGAACTATATTACCAGTTAAAATATTTGCACTTATTTCTGGGACACTCTGTATATTGGTACAGATTTGGCAGCCTGGAGTCTCGGTTGTCTTCTTGGAGCTCTAAGAGCCCTAATTCTCGATGGTCATCTGATTTTAAGCCAGTTCTGGTCTCATCCGAAAAAAT